AAAGAAATTTAATTTGTAGTTCTAAATAAATTCTAAATGTATTTAGGACGTTTTTTACTCACTTTATGTCTCTTCCACGATGTTATTTCTCTCTCCAACAACGTAGGTTACAATTACATTAGCATGACCAATTATGCAAATTAGGTGATGACGTCATTTGGCGACTTCTAGCGACTTTTAGGACAACCAATAGCGATTTTCCTTACTGAGGAGTTGGCAACACTGGTGCAGCGTGTGTTCTGGACACAAGCGATGGAGGCACTTGTAGAACTTTTCGAGCCTTTTCGATGTGGCATCACCAAATTATCACGACCACAACAACCGTGAAAATAGTTGGATGGACATCGCTGCTCAATCACAGCTGCCTGATCATGTTCTTCATTAGCAATTTAGCAAAGTTGATGGCGGTGTGTGTCTGTGTGAGTGAAAGACAGAGAGGGAGAGCGAGCGACAGAATTTCTGTTATAACCTTCATTTTATGGACGCACAGTGTGAGCACTCGGGTCGCATCACAGCATCGTGACCTACGAACTTCTAACCCCTGCGAGTCAATCGTGCAGTTTGAGCAGGAGCTGAATCGCGCGACTGAAAAAATCGCACAGTGTGTAACAGTTCTGTAAAGGTTCTCAATCATGCAGGTCGTGGCGAGCTAAAGAGCTTGGAAAGAAAAGCGACTTCTTTAAGTTTCTTGAAGATGTTCACCTGTCATCCGAGAAGCTTCAGTATTGGTAGAGCGTCCCAGATTTGGCACCGTGAAGCCCGAGAGGCATTTGCTGTTTGCATCTAGAGACTGATTAAAAAGTATTCCTTTAATATTTTTGAGCAGTATATTTTGTCTGTTTACAACATGTGTTTCCATTTGTGGAAAGATGATAATTAGGTAATAGATGATAACGTGGTTCATTACAATATGTCCAAATGGTGGTCAGACGGTTAAAATGTTAAAACGGACACACAGTGCTTTACAGATGTGTGTGGGACTATGTAGCCATAAATACTCCTTCATGGCAGCAGCATGTCCTGGTTGGCTTCGTTCGGTAGGTTAATGCGCCCTGCCAAATTGTAAATGTCAAATTCAAGCACCCCAGTCTGACTCAACATTTGAGGATATGCAGGTCCAACTTGGACCTTCCTGGACTTCCAGAATTTGCTGCTTTCGTTTGCTTTCCATCTGGTCTTGTCCAAGTCTGATTGCTTGGTGATACTGTGTTGTCAGATTATCAGTCAGACTCTCAGTCCTACATGGAATCAGTGTTTGCCAATGAGCCGTCTGCTGCTGAGTGGAGATTTGCAGTATATCCAGCGAGAGCCGCCACATGTCCTCATAGAGGTGTATGATGACGACGCACTGGTAATCCCTAATTCAAATAAAAGTTATTTGAACTATTATTTTTAGCTGTGTTCCTGCCTGACTCTCCCCTCTCTGAGCTCACTCTGGTGTGTGCAGGGAAAGGCTGAGTACCTGGGAGCCACAGTGGCAGTGCCCGAGGTCTGTCTGTCCTCTGCTCCCTACACGCCTCCAACTCTGCAGTACAACGCTCTGCACTGTGGGAGCCAGCCAGGGGGAGAATTGCTGGCTGCATTTGAATTGCTGCAGGTCAGTCTTTTAAATAACCATGCATGCTCCATCATAATATTGCACGACTGAATCCTGACTGAAATCTTATTATGATTGTGTAGATCTCACGTTCTGAACAGCAGAGTCTGCCAGACTTAGAGGAACAAGATGGAGGCATCTACACAGTTCCTGCATATATCAGGCCTGTCCTCAGCACCTACAGACTAGAGGTTTGAGTACATGAATGTGTGCATGTGTCTGGACCACTTTCTCACC